AGGCCTACTTGGACAGCACCCTGCCAACCGAGGTAGACAAGTCCTCTTGACTACTGGGCAACGAAACTTGAAGACCTTTGGCCCCAACTAGCTGAATTTTCCCTTGAAAGGCTGTCATGCCCGGCCAGTAGCGTGGCATCGGAGCGCGTGTTTAGTGCGGCAGACAGGAGGTATTGCAACTCCGCGGAGGACACGGGGACTGCCACCCAAAAGTGTGGAGAGGACTCCACGTTTGTGGAGTAAAGGGAATCGTGGGACGTGTGGAGTGTAGTCATGGTGGATTTCAAAACCTCCAGTAAATCCTTCCAGACACAACTGACTAAATACCACCATGAATTCATGCCCCAATCATGTGCCACTTTCAGGTCTCCTCACACTGCTAGTGTGTTCCATTTTTTGTCATAGGGTGCTGGCAGATTACGGGCCTCCCATAGCTGCTGCAGGCAAGGCCCCTAATCTGCCATGGGCACCTATACCGCCTCCTCATGCTGCTGCCAAGTCCAGAGTCTCTCATGGGTCCCTGTACGGCCCTCCCATTGCTGCTGTCTCCATCGCCACACTCTGCCATGTGCCACTTTCAGGTCTCCTCACACTGCTGGTGTGTTCCATTTTTTGTCATAGGGTGCTGGCAGATTACGGGCCTCCCATAGCTGCTGCCAGGGCCCCTAATCTGCCATGGGCCCCTATACCGCCTCCTCATGCTGCTGCCAGGTCCAGAGTCTCTCATGGGTCCCTGTACGGCCTCCCATTGCTGCTGTCTCCATCGCCACACTCTGCCATGTGCCACTTTCAGGTCTCCTCACACTGCTGGTGTGTTCCATTTTTTTGTCATAGGGTGCTGGCAGATTACTGGCCTCCCATAGCTGCTGCCAGGCCCCTAATCTGCCATGGGCCCCCGTACCGACTCCTCATGCTGCTGCCGGGCCCGTAATCTGTCATGGGCCCCTGTACCGCCTCCTCATGCTGCTGCCAGGTCCAGAGTGTGTCATGGGTCCCTGTACGGCCTCCCATTGTGCTGTCCTCCATCGCCACACACTCTGCCATGTGCCACTTTCTGGTCTCCATCCACACTGCTGGTGGTTTCCATTTTTGTCATAGGGTGCTGTATGGCCACCCATTGCTGCTGCCTCCACCGCCCACACTGTGGCTCCACACTCTGGTTTTGGCCCGTGACTGCCCAAATGAGTGAAGTGTGCGGTGATTCTAAGATCGACGGCACTCATCTGCATGTCATATTGACTGTCAGTATTATTTCTCTTCCCCAGCAGACTCCAAGGGCATTTAAATTAAAGGTACAGTGTTCTGCACTAATATAAAGGCTCTCTGAAGCCTAGAAACACCCTTTTATAAGTTAAATTCGCAGCGAATATATTCGACTCGAATCGAAATTTTTCCACGAATTCGCCGAATCAGTCGAATCGAATTTTTGAATACTTCGCTCATCTCTACTCATAGTATCAAACAAAATTGCCAAATTTAACCTCCCTAGCGGTATGATTATTTCAGATTTTTGGTGCTGAAAGTGGTACCATTATTTTGCATGGAAATAAGTAGTTTTTTTATTGTAGGCTGTAATTTTTAGGAATAACTCACTGAAATCTCTCCGAACAAGAGTCTATTGAACATCCCGGGTATGATAAAATTTGAAACACGAAATCATAAATTATAATTTAATAAATAATCATAAAAAAAATAATAATATAATAATAATACATTTAATTCAATAATATAACTCGTCCCCTCACTCCTATTGAATCCCTATGCTCTAGAGCTGAACCGCGCAAACATTTGATTTCGGCGATTTACCCTCTCCTTGTTGAGAGTAGGGATTATAACTCTTTACCCTCCTGCCGTGCTTGGAACAGAGACTTGGGAAACAGCTTTTTGGACGCCGATTGGGACCTAATATTTATGCATACTCATAAATGCTCCCTCAATGTCTCAACTCAGGAAAATGGATATAAAATTGCTTCGAGATGGTACCGAACTCCGTCGAGAATCTCTCGTTTTAATCCTTCCGTCCCCAATAGCTGTTGGAGATGTGGAACCTCGGATGGATCCTTTCTCCACATTTGGTGGTCTTGTCCCAATATCCAACCATTTTGGCAGGAGGTCCACCGGCTTGTAGTGTCTGTGACCACCTTGTCCCTGGCTTTCTCTCCAGAGCAGTTTCTTCTCCATCACTCCTCTCTGCCCAGGGGACAATACCTCAAATCTTTAGCAATGCATATGGTCAACGCGGCCAGACTCTGTCTTCCCACTCTTTGGGGCTCCACCCGCCCTCCCTCCATACGCGATTGGCTGATCCGTGTGGGTAAAATTGCGGAAATGGAAGAACTGATTGCGACCGCACTCGATTCCCCCACTAAATTCTCCCATGCTTGGGCCTGCTGGAATCACTTTAAAACTACTTCTACGTACCGGTCCTTTATGAACCGTCCAACCAACACGCCTGATTGATTACTAATCTCCATTGTATGTTACTCCACACTCTAGATCATACGGTAGGCGACTTCCCCACTTTCAGGGCTCCATCTCCACCTACCGGCCCCGGTTAATAGACTTTTGCTCAAATCCACCCATAAAAGACCCTTGGTGTTGACGACAATACAAACCCAGCTCCCCCCCCCCCCCTTCTTGTTTCACCCCCCCCCCCCCCCCGTTTTGTTTTTTGTTTTTTGTTTTTTTGTTTTTTTTTTTGTTTTTTTTTTTTTTTTTTTTTTTTTTTTTTTGTTTTTGTTTTTTTTTCTTCTATCTTTTCTTGTTCTCCTTTTCTTTCTTCTTATTTTCTTGTTACTCGCCCAGTTAATCACTGGGTTCCTCTTTAGAGAACATTAGGCATGCCATTGTCATATTTACCTTGCTTACATTAGCGACCCTCACGACAATCTAAGCTTACTTACTGGTACCATCACTCCAGTAAAACGCTAGCTTCATCCTCAACGGTTGTGCTGCATCTACCCTGCCTCCTTCTGCGGCGCTATAATGAGAATTACATACTAAGAAGGTCCGATGCGATAACCTTCCCATGCGCACTACTAGACTGCCTGAGTATTACAGACTTACCCCGTCGTGGACTGGCACATCCATGCTCCTTATGTGGTTCTTTGTAAGAATATTCCTACTTTCTCCTGACATGCACTGCCAAATGTTGTATATGACCATCATTTGCTTTTCTTTTGTATTATTATGCACTTTTTCAATAAACGTTTTTTTTTGGAAAAAAAAAAAAAAAAAAAATAATAATATAATCAAAACCGAAAAACACTGACATTTGAAATATAGCGCCAAGTTCGCACATTGCTGAGCAAAGTCGCAAAATCGTTTTCAGTGTCTGATGACGAATTTCCCCATGAATCATTATCACTCAATTCTGCAAGTGGTTCTAATTTACTATCGCTGTTCTCTAGCTGATCTAAACCCGCTTTTGACCTAAAGGGACACTTTTTGGACGCCATGGACATTTCTCAGTTTCCAGGCAGAAAGAACAGACAAAACGCAGGCAGGGCACAGGGCAAAGCACTAGGGACAATATGTATGTGAAATGGGTTAAAACAGCAATGTTTTACTATGAAAAATGTGTTTTGAAAAAAATGAAATTTTTTAAAATTTTCAAATTTCCCGCCGCCGTCCGTACGTCCCGACGTCACAGGGACCGGAACACAGAAGCCGGATGTCGATGTCGGCATCGGCCGGAGGAGATGGCCGGGGATGCTGCAGGGGACACATCGTGGGAGCGAAGGACAAGGTAAGTGCTGCAGGGACTTCCTATGCAGCGCCGCACGGTAAGCCCCGAGTGTAGCTCGGGGTTACCGCTTTTGGCACTGACATTTTACCCCGAGCTACACTAGGGAATACCGTTAGGGAGGTTAAAAGAGATCTAGATGACTACAACCACAATAGAGTTTTCACTTGGAAAAATCACAGTATCCCCGCCCTCATGGATTTAGTTCTCCCCCCCCCCACATCTAGAACATCACAACAACACACCACACCACGACAACCCATCCCCCCTCTCATTCCAACATGCTTCACCAAATCATATCCCACACAACACACCAATCACTTCAACCACAAAAGCTCGCATAATAAAGACACACCCAAGTCTCACCCCAACACTAAAACACCTCCCAATAACACTTCCAAAAACACTATAAATATACCTCAGACCATCACCACCCCTATATCCATAACTGGTGACACCACACCAAATGGCACTCAGATCCCCATCACCATCACCCACACAAACACCCCTTAACCCATATCCCCATCCACCGATGCCCATACTGTCATCACCCTTGGCATTCCAATTCCGAACAATTTTTAGGTCAAAATCCCCCCCACAGAAAAAGAAAACACACAGAGGCTACAGAGGGGACGAAATAAACACCGCAATACACACCAAACACAAACACCGCAAACTGTAAAAATCTTCAACTTATCCAACCATCAACTATCACAAACTGAAATCTCTCTGCTCAATCACGGTCTAAACTTTGCACGCACTTCCCCACCCAACCTATTCACACTATTCAAAGACCTGAATAAATTTATACGCAATCTCACCTTAAAAAGATTCTTTCACATTCAATCTAAAAAAAACCAGGCTACAGCCATTTCACCTGACACAGACAATATCAACCCCCCCAACCCCATCTGACTCAGACGCCTTAGACATATTATAACAATTATTTGTTGAGTCTCACCCTGATGACAGCCCACCTTTAGATTTTACACTCACTTCACAACTTTTATACCCCCCACCCATGGCCCACACTACGCTCGGACCCAAATCAGTATTCAATCCTACACATTCTAAGGGCCCCTACCTGGAAAGTTTTTATAGAGTAGTCTACTCGGAATTCATCAAATTGCGCAATCCCAACCAACACCATACCTCCTCTAATCTACCAAACACTGTAAAAAAATCCATTACCACTTTATCAAACAATAAGGACATTATTATCAAGCCCGCCGATAAAGGTCGCGGCATTGTACTTCTTAACACCACTGACTACATAGACAAAGCCCTCAGACTCCTCTCAGACACATCCACGTATACCAAATTAACTAAAGACCCACTACCCGAATTCAAACAGGACGCACTACTACCAACGAACACAGTCTTACTTGATGGTGTCATCACCAAGCAGGAAGCCTCTTTTCTATCTAAAGACTTCTACAACACCCTGTATTTTTACTTTCTCCCCAAAGTACACAAAAATCCAAATAATCCACCAGGAAGACCAATCGTAGCGGCCACAGGGAGCATTACCAGCGGTTTCTCCCAATATTCGACCACTTCCTACAACCCCTGGCACAGGTTCAACACTCATATATCTGGCACACAGCGGACACTTGCTAGAATTACTCCAAACATACTCCTGGGAACCCGACTATTGTTTGGTCTCGTTAGATGTCTGCTCCCTATACACTTTGATACCCCATGATGTAGGCATCACCGCCATCCAGCACTATCTATCCTTGGATCCATCACTCAACCCCAAAATCTTCCCTTATAGTAGATGCCACCTCATTTTGCCTCAAACACAATTACATTCAATTCAACCACGATTTCTACTTACAAACTCAAGCTACAGCCATGGGAGCCAATTTTGCACCCTCATATGCCAACTCGACTATGAGTTTCTGGGAGGACAAATACATATGGCACAACAACCCCTTTGCCGCCCACATCATCTTTTACGGCCGCTACATAGATGACATTATCGTCATCTGGGATGGACCAATATTACACGTAGACCAGTTCGTAACCCATTGCAATTCAAATCCTTTTGGACTGTCCTTCACCTCCACTCACCACAAACATACTCTTGTATTCCTAGATCTCGAATTATACCATGACAATCTCCAAATATTAACAAAAAAAACCACTTCAAACCCGTATCTGGCAACTCATACCTCCACTTCAACAGCTGCCACCACCCCAAATGGATCCAAAATATACCTAAAGGACAATTCTGTCGTCTCAGACAAAACTGCACCACAGATTCAGATTACAATCTCCAGAGCGACATTCTAATAAAGAAATTCCTAGACAAAGGTTACCCACACAAGCTAGTAGATGAGGCCCACTCCTTCTACCGCAAGGGTAGACCCCAAACACACAATAGCACAGAGCCTCCCAACCAGGTCAGATTTATAACCAAATTCCACAACAACTTTCACAAAATGGAGCCTATCAACAATAGACATTGGCCGATACTACTACAGGATCCACATTTAATAGACATTTTAGATAAAAAACCAAAATACACCTACCGCAAAGCCATCAACCTTAAAAACAAGATTGCCCCCAGCAAATACAAACCCACCCACCAACACACCCAACACAATCTGCCTCATACCCTTTGTTGGCATGAATAGATGCAACAAAGCGCTATGCAAAACTTGCCAATTCGTTAAACACGGACAAAAAAAACTTCACCACAAAAGGAAAAACCTATTCATTCAAAGAATTTTACAACTGCTCCACTGATCATGTGATCTTTGTATATATCCTGCCCTTGTGGCCTCCTATATGTGGGACACACCATCAGACCCCTCCGCGCCAGGTTTGGCGAGCACAGACGTCTTATTGAAGATGGTAAAGACAAACATAGCGTCCCCCGCCACTTCCTTGAATATCACCAAAAATCCACTGATGGCCTACAAGTATGGGTCTTAGAATCCATACACAACAATCTCTCTGAGTCTGATCGTTTCAAAAAACTCTGTTCACAAGAAACTTATTGGATATTTACATTAGATACATTGTCCCCAGGTGGACTCAACAAGGAATTAGACATTAACACTATACTATAAACACTACAATCTCCCATTCATAGCCACTCAACACTCACAATGATACTTTCCTTTTTATTTAATCGAATTTTTTATCAAATTTTTTTTTTTTTATTTTTTTTTTTTAATCCAATTTTTAGTTTATTATTTATAACCTTTTGTTCATTATTTATATTTTATTCTATTTTTTACAATGTAATTTACTCTTTTATAATGTCATTTGCATGTACTATTACCAATATGTTTATCATCCTACCATGTTAACACCCATTGTCATTATACCCGCTAGCAACATCTATATATGTTATATTTATTATGAAGCTCCTGTAGAGCCATAACCATATCCCACCTTGCAATCATGCTGTATTACCACTAAATATCTGCTCAATACTGTTACATAATTGATGTGCCAGTGCTGCAAGGTGAACATTTTACCCCACTAATCTCCCAGAATATAATTTTTTTTTTTTTTCTCAATTTTGTAAATTTAATAATTTAATTTTAATATTATAACATATATATACCACTATACATTTTTTTATTTTTTAATCTCTTAATTCTTTAATTTTTTGATTTGTTTAACTGCTTCCTTTTTTATTCTGTATTCTTATTACCCCCATCAACTTTTTTCACATAGCTTCTTCGATTTTCAACTGTTCAAAAATCATTTTTTAATGTAATTTTTCATTTCATTTTTTCTTTCTTTTTTTCATCATTTTTTTCATTTTTTTCATCATTTTTCTTTCTTCTTTCTTTTTTCTTATTTATTACATCCTCTCTTTTTTCCATTTGGTTTCCTTTACCCCCCCCATTTAACATCCATGACTTTACACTATTCACCTTACAGCAATGGTCAATCACTGGTTAATTGGTTAATTGATCAATTAGACTCACGTTCCCTATATATTCACCCCTGTTAATCCACCTTCCCCTGCTTGAAAAAGGAGCGCACTTCCGCCCTCCACGGCCAGTGCATGCTCTGAAACGCGTCGCAGTGCACCCTGGGATCTGGCGTCATCACGGCCACGCCGCCGCTGTGTTGCAGCGTGCGTTCCATCCGGCTCTAAAGGGAGGACGTGCACGCTGGCCAGCCTGACCGCTGTTCCCCTCCAGCCACCACGCTGTTCCAGCCGAGAGCTGACCTCCCCACATCACAGTAAGATGACGGCTCTTCACCCGGGTTACCACCCCACCGTTAACTATTGTTAACCACGGGTTTTTTAAGCTTATGATTACTTCACACATGTGAGTGTTTCTACATTTAGACTTGAATAAAAAGACTTATTGCACTTAGAGGTGCTTCTCTCCTTTTCTCATCTACAGAGGTTGCTACAGCTTATTTGGAAGCCTTGCCCTCAGTGCCACACGGCATCCTACGCTCTTCATACAGTAGCCAATAATACCACGATCACCCCATACTACTATTTCCCAGGACTTTGCAGTGTTTGCGCTGTTACAACCCTTCCTCATTTTTTCTGAAGGCAAGTCCAGTAAACAAGCCGAAGTCAGAGTAATCAGGTGAACAGAGTTTAAGTAGGAGCCCAAGTGAAGTCCAAAGGCAAGCCGGGTTACACACAACGAACGACAGATTGCAAAAGATAGCAGGACCAACCCCCAAAAATATTTCAAATATATTAATAATAGGTTTGGTCCGAGCATGTAGGCCCTTTACAAAATAATCTAGAGTGGGTGACTGGGGACAAAGAGAAGGCAAATTTATTTAATACCTTCTTCAGCTCTGTGTATACAAAGGAGTATGGGGGAGCTCTTGTCCATAATGGACATGGTATTGACGCAGCTCCAGATGATCCACATTGGCTCACAATTCATATGATCCAAAAATATTTAGACAGTATAAAGGTGAATAAAGCACCTGGACCAGATGGCATACACCAACGGGTCTTTAAAGAATTGAGCTCTGTCATTTCAAAGCCATTGTTTCAAATTTTTAGGGACTCTTTAATAACTGGCATAGTACCACTAGATTGGCATAAGGCCAATGTGTTGCCAATATTTAAAAAGGGGTA